GCTCTTTAGCAAGCCACACCACTACCCTTTAGCTGACAGACCTCTGCTTCAAGCCTCTGCACTTGCTTCTCCTTTTCCTAGAATGTTCTCAGCCCAGATTACTCCCAAGCTCATTTCCTTTTACTGTCAGGGTTCTGCTGAGATGGCACGGCTCCCTTCGCTACCTGACAGAAAACTGCATCCTTGCCATCGTGGGCTACTTCTTCCTACTCTACTTTCTCTCCTCAAAGGCTGTTGTCAACTTTCCTACACTACCACTATGACTTTGATAGTGTTGGTTTCTGTGTGATTAAGTTCAGAAGTACAATTTTAGTCTAATTGTTCACACTGTTGCATCCCACAGTTTATGGTACAAGAGCATTCTATTTTTTTGAGGCAGGGTCTCACTATGAAGTCCAGGCTGGCCTCAAACTCAGATTTGCCTGTCTTTGCCTCCCAATCAATAAAGGTGGGTGCCACCACATTCAGCTCAACAGCAGCTTCTAATGTGACCACTTTCTTCTACTCAGTAGTGACTCATCTTCTATTGTAAACAAAATATTGTGCATAGAAGCAGAAGGTTGATGGTATGAACAAAGTTATTTGCATAAAGCAAAACCGACTTACAGTAGGAATATACTTAATTGATAAAATCTCAACCAGTATTAATGAAAACCTGTTTAGGATGGGAGCTAAGATAATGTTCAAAGGAGAAAAATGGCCTGTAGTAATATTAAAACACTCTCTCTGCATGGGCCAGAATATCTGATTCCCCAATCAGATGAAGTTAATGGGCTACATCAGGTTCCTCTAAAACAGTGGTTCTCTACCTGTGGGTTATAACCCACATTGAAAAAACACAGATGTTTATGTAACTAGCCATAACGAGCCAGTAGCAAACTTACTGAAGTAGCAATGAAATAATTCTATGGTTGGAGGTCATCACAACATGAGGAACTGTATTAAAGGGTCAAAGCACTAGGAAAGTAGAGAACCACGGCTCTAAAAGCTTACTTGGAGCTTTGAAAATGAAATGAAGATAAACATTACTACATAGATAAGGTTTCCCCTAACCCCACTCTGTTATTAGGGATAACTACAAGGATTGTTAAAAAAAAAAAAAAAGAAAGAAAGAAAGAAAGAAAGAAAGAAAGAAAGAAAAAAAGAAAGAAAGATCAAGACGCCTAAAAGATACGCTTGGACAACAACGGAAACATAGAGGTTTAGCCTTCAAGGACTATGGTCATGAATTTACTAGAAAAAGTCTATTTTTATATATATTTTTTAACATCGTTTTTTGTTTGCTTTGAAACAGGGTCTGTATGTCCCAGCCTGGTCTGGAACTCACAATCTGTCCGCCTGGGAGTGGTGGAATTAAAAGGCCTGAGCCGCCACGCCCAGCTTATTCGTGTTTCCTTGTAAACTGAAAACCTCTTAAAACTACGATTTCTAGCCTTCTTGCCTTGATAAAAGTATCAAAGCCAACTCGATGAAATGGAGGAGTTAGGGCTCAACCATATTACATAGATTTTATTTCAATTAAATTTGGCAAATTAGAGAAAGCATCCTAGAGTCGGCTGTCCCGTGATTAATATGTAAAGTATTTAAAAGTGAAAGAAAAAATCCACACCACCAGTCAAGCATTGAGAATTTTAAGTTCAACTCAAAGTAAACAAGCGAACCACTGAGTTAATCACAGTTAATGCATGCAATGGAACAGAACTGCAGAGTTCGCCAGAGTGGGGAGGGGCTGACATTCTAGATTTTCTGGCCACTCTACTTCAGCGAGTCAATTTCACCAACAGTCCCCGAGCTCGGGCGGGCCGGATCTGAGCAGCGCCAGGCTCCAGCCCGCTGGACAAGGAGACGGCAGGGCCGCTTGGGACGGCAAGCAGCGCCGGGCGGACAGCAGTGGCCGCGCCAGGCACGATCCTGCTTTTGTTTATGGAGGCGAAGGCGGGAAGGGCCGCTCCGCTGAGGGACGGCAGCCGCAGCCCAGCCCGCGGGGCCGCCCATTAGGAAGCGGGCTCACCTTGGACATCATCTTCTTCAGCTGACTCTCGGACACCGCCATGGCGCGCGCCTCCGTCCCCGCAGGCAGAGGGTCAGCGCCACGGGGCCGCCCCTGGCCGCCAGACAATCGCCGCCGCCCCGCCCCCGCCAAGCAGGAAGCCGGCGCGCCGTGCTTCCGCTTCCTTCGCGTCACTTCCGAGAGCGCCGCTCTGCGGCTGGTGCTGTGCGTGGGGTGGCGTCGGATCAGTTCCCACAGTTGCGAGCGGGCTGCATACTGACCTCAAGCCTTTCGGCTGACCCCTAGCAAGCCTTGTTTGGCAGGGTCCCACGGAAGGCCCTGCGCCACCAGCTCTAGCTTGTGGGCATTGATTTAGGCGACGATGCCCGCCCGATGTCTCTCTTGATGTATCACATGCGTTTTTGTTACAGTCGAAAAAGCCTTTATGCTGTGTTCGCCAGGGCAGTAAGGAGCTTTTTTTTCTCAGGTAGACAGTAATTTAATTATTATTTCCTTAATAATTCCTGTGCACCCACCATAAAGATAACACAGGTCTTTGGCACAGGTTTATTTTCAAATTAAAAAGAATTTTCCCCTTTGAACTTCTGAGCCATCTCTCCAGTGTTAATCCCAAAGATGCAAGGACCACAGACCCAAATCATCAAGGCCAGATTAGTTGAAGCGAGCAATTAAAACAATGTTTTTCATTTGTGTCTACTGGCTACCTCCCCCTAAAGCGGATTTCAAGAGGTCAACCTTGGACACGTGAAAAACAAGGTTTTTTATAGCTCAGGAGTGATGGGGAATTTGGCGGGCAAATACGCAGGGTTACAGAAATAGGCATAACAAATTGGTTATAACAACCTCTTGTGAAAAAATGACAGGGTTGCAAGGTGGTCATATCTTGGTACACGCAGTACAGAGCTATTTGTATGTAGTTAAGGTTACAGGTGAGTCATAGCCCAATCCTTGAGAAAGAGAGATTTAATCATAACTAGGAATGAACCTAGTTTGTCTTTACTATAAAATGGCTTTCAAGCCAGACGGTGGTGGCGCACTCCGGAGGCAGAGGCAGGATGATCTCTGTGAATTCAAGGCCAACCTGATCTACAGTGAATTCCAGGACAGGCTACAAAGCTACACAGAGAAACTCCATCTCGAAAACCAACAACAAAAAGATGGCTTTCAAGCCTAAGATGGAGGTAGGCTGATTGATCACAAGGCCAATTTTCAGATCTTAATTACTTTGTAGAATACAAGAGATGTTATTCGAGCTAAGCTAAATTTCTATTTCCAATAAAAGCTTGTTATAGGGACTGAAGAGATGGCTCAGCAGCTAAGAACACCTGTAGATCTGGCAGCGGGTTAGGTTTAGGTTCCCAGTTACAGGGGATCCCAGTGGCCTCAGTGGGCATCAGGTATGCAGGTGGTGCACATATACACAATGTGCTCATACCCATCATTCTTATTCTTTTTTTTTTTTTTTTTCGAGACAAGGTTTCTCTGTAGCTTTGGTGCCTGTACTGGAACTAGCTCTTGTAGACCAGGCTGGCCTCAAACTCACAGAAATCTGCCTGCCTCTGCTTCCCAAGTGCTGCGATTAAAGGTGTGTGCACCACAACCGCCCGGCTTACCCATAATCTTTTTTTTTTTAAAAGTTAGTGACATATCAACCATTAATCCTTATTAATTCTATAATTACAGCCATTTACAGTATAAAGCCTAGGCTAGACAGTAGGGAAAGATGATACAGCTAGATGACCTCAGCACACAGTGCACTGGTATCAATTCCTTTCTACGCCAAAAGTCATGGGCAGAAGGGGTCTAAAGTGAAAGGGAGTGTGGTAAGTGTTGCCCGTTCCAATAGGTGACATCAGCCTTGAAAACGGTTAGTTGTAGTCAAACCTCCATCTGCCCTGCTGTACCCACTGTTTTCAGGTTGGTTAAGTGTGCCTGGGAGCTGGAGAGACGGCTTAGTGGTTAAAAGTGTTCTACAAGTGTGAGGGCATTCCTACCCATGCCCGTAACATCTATAGCACTGGCCTCAAGAGGGGTGAAGGAGGATCACTGGGGCTTTCTGGAATCCAGCCTGGTAAAGACGTTGAGTCCCAGGTTCAGGAGGAGACCATGCTTCAAAGAACAGGATGAGGGTGATGGAGGAGGACACTGACTGCCTCCTGCCCCCACCAATCTCTTCAAAAACACCCAAAAAGCACGATTTTAAACTTATTTAAAGTTGCAGCTTACTTAGAAATGCCTTTAACTGGAGCAACTGTTTCTACAACCTGGAGGAGTGCTAAGCAACACACGGCTTTAGAAGTCTTCTGAACTAGGTGTAGTGATCTATAGTCTATAACTGAAGTCCTTGGGAGCCCAAGGCAAGGTAATTAAAAGATCAAGTCCTGCATAAGCTATATCACATTACCCTGTTTCAAAAGTTTTCTTTTTTGGATTTTTTTTTTTAAATTATGTATACAGTATTCTGTATGCATGTATGCTTGCAGGCCAGAAGAGGGCACCAGATCTCATTACAGATGGTTGTGAGCCACCAGTGGTTGCTTGGAATTGAACTCAGGACCTTTGGAAGAAAAGGCAGTGCTCTTAATCTCTGAGCCATCTCTCCAGTTCTTTTCAAAAGTTCTCTAATAACTGATAAAGGTCATTTTTTTCATTTTGCACTTGAATGAATAATGGATGTGGGTGCTCTGGGAATGACATTAAAAAAAATTTTTTTTTTGATTTTCGAGACAGGGTTTTTTTGTTTGTTTGTTTGTTTGTTTTGTTTTGTTTTGTTTTGTTTTCGAGACAGTGTTTCTCCGTGGCATTTTGGTTCCTGTCCTGGAACTAGCTCTTGTAGACCAGGCTGGCCTCGAACTCACTAAGATCCACCTGCCTCTGCCTCCCGAGTGCTAGGATTAAAGGTGTGCGCCACCACTGCCCGGCTTAAAAAAAAAAAACAAAAAACTTTTAATCTGAATGTATTTTCTTTCACTTAATCAGATATCACACAGTCCTTTTAAAGTCAAAATTTATTTTGTTCATTATTTTTTATATTTTAGGTAATCAATATAAACCAGAAAATGAAAAATATACCTTACAGTATCAAAAAGCATTTTAATCCAACCCCCGATAAAAACCATGAGGTACTGCATGACTTTGGAAAAATGAGGGTTTCTCCTCCTTGTCAGATGGCAAGAAAAACCATTTTACTTAACACAGTATCTTTTTTAAATGAGGAAATAAATCTTTCACTAGTCTTTCATGAAAGCTTGAATTTCAGAACATAATAAGGTTAAAAAAATCAGGATTTATAACGATGTGGGACTGAAACTTATCGGACAGCAGATATTACCTGGGAAGTGAGCACTATTGCAGAGCCTGCACCCGTGCCTCAGGTGAGAAATACGCAAACACTGTACACTGCCTCCCCCCCCCCCCCCCCCCGGTTTTGAGACTGACAGAATATAAAGGTTAATCAAATCAACATCATCTAAACCATTAAAGCATGTGGAGAAAATGAAAGTTACCAGACAGACGCACTGTGATTACTAACCACCAAACCAAGATGAGGTGGTGATGGCGCCACCTGACTTAATGGAGGAATGTGCGAACAGACAAAGACTTCTAACAAAATACTTGGATTAACAGTGAGTGCTCAATAAATACCTGTTGTATTGGCATTTCTTTTTATAATCAACATAATTCTTGGCAGTTTGCTGTTATAACATCCTGCAATTGGTTTATTGTTCAAGAGAGTTATTAGATTTTAGAAACTAAGTTCCAGATGAAGTACAATGGTGGAGGCCTTGCCTAGCATGCATCAGACCCTGGAGGCCTGGCCTAGCATGCATCAGACCCTGGAGGCCTGGCCTAGCATGCATCAGACCCTAGAGGCCTGGTCTAGCATGCATCAGACCCTGGAGGCCTGGCCTAGCATGCATCAGACCCTGGAGTACTGGCCTAGCATGTATCAGACCCTGGAGGCCTTGCCTAGAATGCATCAGACCCTGGTTTAGATCCCCACAACAGAACAAAACAAAACAAAAATTGTTGCTGGGTATGGTAGCCAGCACTCATGAGGCTCAGGCAGGATGATTGCTGAGAGTTAGAGACTAGTCTCAAAAACAAATGAAGAGAGCCAGGTGGCAGCAAACGCCTTCACTCCCAGCACTCGGGAAGCAGCAGTAGTAAAGATCTCTGAGTTTGAGGCCAACTTTGTCTACAAAGTGAGTTCCAGGATAGCCAGAGCAGTTAGACAGAGAAACCCTGTCTAGAAAAACCAATCAACCAACTGATGTGGGATTCCCCTCTGTATGCTGTGAGTACCAATGGTTAATAAAGAAACTGGCTTGACCTGATAGGGTAGATAGGCAGGGAAAACTAAACTGAATGTTGGGAAAAAGGAGGCAGAGAGAAGCCATGTAGCCTGCCAGAGACAGACGTGCTGAAACTGTTGGTAGGTCATGACCTCATGGTGATGCACAGATTAATAGAGTTGGGCTAGTTTCAGATATGAGTTAATCAGAAATATGGTTAAGCTATTGGCCAAACAGTATTATAAATAATATAGTTTTTGTGTGATTATTTTGGGGCTGAGCAGCTGGGAACCAACAAGCGGCCCTCCTGCAACAACCAACAAAAATAAACCAAAAACAAATGAAGAGAAAAGAAATTCTATTTTAGGAATTACTGAATTCCTAATTAGTTATCACCTAGTAGAAAACACTAAACCACATAAGAAATTGTTGTTTCAACTTTACCTTCCTATCTCGTACAAAAGGTCAGTAAAAACAACACCAAAATCATTTACAAAGAGCTAATGCTTACCTCCTCAACAACCCCAAGTGTTGTGGTTCTCGGACCAAACCCAGGGCCCTATTCTTATCAGGCAAGCACCTAACTACTGAGCTACATCCCTAGCCTGTATGGCCAAGGTTTAACCCAGTTGAGTCTGGAGGAAGTCTTCCTCAGCACGTCTCTTCTACTTCCTCAACATTCGCTTGTCAGTGTAAGTACCCAGTGTCATGACTCCTTCCTACCTCACAAACCCCTGAGCTCCTCTCCGAGCAGCCTGGATTCCAAACACTCTGGATTTCACTGTACTTAGCACACTTGCATTCATGTGCTATTTTGTTATTGGGTTCCTCTGCTAATCCGTAAGTACCAGGGCTTGTCCCTAATATAGGCATGTTCAGCAATAGTGTTTTCTGTTGTGAGAAGCTCCTAATAAATGCTAGCTGAACGACTAAATAAACAAACACCGTCTTTGGCACATACCACCTCTGCTATCTGCTGAGTCTCTGGGGGTCAGGCTAATCAATCTTTATAAAAAAAATACTTTAAAAAATATAGCCAGGTGTGGCGGTGCATGCCTTTAAACCCTGCACTGGGAAGGCAGAGACTATGTGAGCTGGAGGCCAGCCTGGTCTATGGTAGTAAGCTTCAAGACAGCTAGGACTACATAAAGACCTTGTTTAAAAAAAAAAAAAAAACTCCCATATGAAAATAAAAGCAATTCTTTCATAGTATCCTAAGCCTCAACTTTAGTTAGTTGACAGCTTGGCTTTTAGGCCTCTAGGCTCCCCCACAGCCTCTGTTGCTACCTATAAAAGTAGAGGTTGTACAGCTAAGTAACATCCTTAGAACCCAGCAATCTTAGACACCAAAGTGCAGTCTCCTCCTCTCTGATGAAGATAAATAGTCCCTACCTTGGCCAGTCGATGTCAGGACTCTACATATAAGAGCTCAATATATAGGAGTTGTCACCTGTGTGTCACAACAGCCACCGTGTGTCGCTCCACATGTTAATACTGACTGACCAACCACCAAGGCACAGACAGTCACAACTGTTTCCTCTGGGGAGACTAAGGCTCACTCGGAAGCAGACGACCAGGGCCTCTCTCCTTTAAGAACAATGTTTTTTTTATGAAAGCCTCACATTTTGCTTTCAAAATATACTGCTCGGCTGTTACTCTTTACAGAAACATGCATCTCTCTCTTTCTACTGATACAATTTTAAGATACATTTGAGATCTTTTAGCCCAAGAAAAGGTTATTCTAGAAATTTTCAGAGAGGAAGTATCATTAGAAATTAAATCATTGGGAGGCGGGGAGGAGGCGGAAATCTTTTTTTTTTCAATAAAAAAATTATATTTAAAAAAAAGAAATTAAATCATATATTATTTTTCATATATTTAAAATTCCATTTAACCAATTTAAAGCATACTAAAATCCTTTCTAATGTAGGTGAACTTGAAGAAGGAAAGTAAAACACTTTGCCATTATTACCAATGGGATGGTGCAGAAGACACAGGTAGAGCCGTGAAGCTAGGAGTCTCTGAACACTTTGCCATTATTACCAATGGGATGGTGCAGAAGACACAAATAGAGCCGTGAAGCTAGGAGTCTCTGAACGTACACCTGCCACAGGCTCTGTGCCCACCCTGCCTTCAGCTTACCATGCTCAGAATGAGTGTCCAGTGAGAACCTTTAAGGAGTGCACTTATTTCAGAACATCTCTAAAGTGCTAGGTGTGCTGAAGTTAGGACGTGCGGTTTAAAGTGACAGCTCTAAACAACAGAAACTCCAAAAGAAATCAGATCCTTTCCCGTCTTCTAACTTCTCAAGGATTCAAATTATAAATCTAACTAAGATGTCGTCTACTTAAAGGCTGTTTGTGAAATACCAAATTGTGGAAGTTGCCAAAACTGTGTGTGCTGGCAAAATTAAATAAGCTTCCCCCCCGTCAGGTGACTGCCCTCGGGCATCAGAGTTTCAGCTGTTGCTGGAGACTGTGGATTGAAGATCCACTGTTTTGGAGTGTCTCAGTCACTGTGTCTTCTCCTGCACGGGTTTTGATGACTTCAGATACTCCACTGGTTCCCAGGGTGCATGGCAAACTTAAGAACACTTCATTATCTAAACCATAACATCCCTGAAATGAAAAAGTTGGGATTATAATAAAGCTGGATTACACAAAATATTAAAATCATGGGGCTGTAGAGATGGCTCAGCAGTTAAGAGTGTGTACTGCTCTTCCAAAGGATCAGAGTCATTCCCAGCACCCATGTCAGGCAGCTCACAACTGCCTGGAACCCCAGCTTCAGGAGTCATAGCCTTCATGGGCACCTGCATTTACATGTTCAACCCTTGCCAGATAATTAAAAACAATAAAAACAAAATTAAAAAGATAATGAAAAGAATTCTCCCTTGCTTTCCTAGTTATATTACAAAGTGATGGGGTTGGAGAAACGGTTCAGTGGTTAAGAGCACTGGCTATTCTTCCAGAGGTCCTGAATTCAGTTCTCAGCAACCACATGGTGGCTCACAACCATCTGTTGGGTTCTGATGCCCTCTTCTGGCCTGCAGGCATACGTGCAGGCAGAACACTATAAACATAATAAATAAATAAATCTTAAAAAAAAAACAAAGTGATACAAGTTCAACTTAATTTGCTTACTGATTTTCTAAACTCAAGTTATGGCTCCAAAAATGTCTGATAGGAGGAGCCTGGTCAAAGATGCCCTCTTTGCAGGGAGGTAAACTAGCTGTGTGCAGTATAGTCAGCAGGCTGGAGGCTAATCCAGAGATGGACAATAGAGTCCTTGGGGAAATACATCATGGGCTTTGGGCCCAGCCACACACTGCCAGTTATTTTACGTTTTCTTTCCATGTTGTTATTTCCCTCCTGGTGTTCAAGAAAACCTGCCCCAGCATCTTCATGTTAGCTGTTCTGACACGACATAAAATTTATGTTCTGGTAAAAGGCAGAAAACTGCTGGGGTGACTTGCTGGCTCAGGAAAATAGGTTATGTGAACACCTTCGCGACGTCCCCCCAAGTCCTATGGGAGTGAAAGGTCAAGCTGCAGACTTCCCACAGAAAAGCACGTCTGTGCTCACCCCAAAGCTGCGGTGCTGACACAGCAGTGCTGCTGACTTTATATGACTAATATCAAAGATACCAAAGTCTAAAACACGTGAGTGAAAATAAGTTACCTTTGCTAGAGTTGATACAGAATGCACCTTCTTTTTATTGTTTACAATAGTGTCCACCAGGTCAGCCACAGACAGGCCAACAGACCAAGATCTCTGACCCTTTACCCTCAACAGTTCCATGGCTCTAGATTAAGGAAGAGAGAGAGAATCTCAGAAAATTTAAGAAGGCTTGCCAATAATACAATTATGACTTAAGCTTTTCCTAAGATTTGAGAGCCACAGTTCACAGAGAAAACACAAATACTCCCATAGCATAAAAAGATGCTTACTGGTCGGGCAGTGGTAGCGCATGCCTTTAATCCCAGCACTAGGGAGGCAGAGAAGGCACGTCTCAAAAAACAAAACAAATAAATAAATAAGTAAAAGATGCTTACCATCTTGAATGTTGAACTAAATAGCTAAACAGTAAGTATAAGCTGGGTGTGGTGGCGCACGCCCTTAACTCCTGAACTTGGAATGCAAAGGAGTTCCAGGCTAGCCAGGACTAACTGTCTCACAACAACAAAAACAACTGAACAAACAGCCATACAAATATCAGCTCAACGCGACAATGATGAAAAGGACTGATAACTAGTTTTGGGGATTTATGAAGAAAGCATTCCCATAATCACTGATGCTGGGCGGTGGTGGCGCATGCCTTTAATCCCAGGCAGAAGCAGGCAGATCTCTGTGAGTTCGAGGCCAGCCTGGTCTACTAGAGCTAGTTTCAGGGCAAGCTCAAAAAAACACAAAACAAAACAACAACAACAACAAAAAAACAAAAAACAAACAACAACAAAAAAAAAACCCACAGAGAAACCCTGTCTCGGAAAAGAAAAGAAAACAAAAAAATCACTGCTCAAGCCGGGGCGGTGGTGGCGCACGCCTTTAATCCCAGCACTCGGGAGGCAGAGGCAGGCGGATCTCTGTGAGTTCGAGACCAGCCTGGTCTACAGAGNAGGAGTTTAGAGTTGAAGGTGATTTGAGGCTGGCAGTGGGGGACAATGAGCCTTAATTCTACAGGCAATAAAGAGTTTGAGGAGGTCCTGACAGCAGGAGACCTGAATAGGGCTTCAGCCTGAGGAAAGGACAAAGTGCCGGCTACTGAGAACCCGTGAGGGAGCGGAACTCCGGCTGCAGGTGGTTCCCCTTGCTCTATCAATGCCCAACAGCAGAGTCTAAGGAAAGTCTGGGCTGGGAAGGCTCACGGCAGATGGAAAAATGAAAAGGTCATGGATGCCCAGCACTCGGGAGGCAGAGGCAGGCAGATCTCTGTGAGTTCGAGACCAGCCTGGTCTACAGAGCTAGTTCCAGGACAGGCTCCAAAGCCACAGAGAAACCCTGTCTCGAAAAACCAAAAAAAGAAAAAAGGAAAAAAAAAATCACTGCTCAGACCATAAAGCAATGTCAGGGAAAACCGGCAGCACTGCTCTAGAAGCCCCTTTTCTCATCCTTTGTCCTATGGCTCAAGTGTGCAAAGGTATACATAATAGCATGTTTGCTATATTTGAGAAAAACTTACCAAAAGGGGGCTGGTTAAATAAATGGTTGCCACATGCCTGCCACACCATAGGAAAATAAGGCTGGTGCTGGAGAGGGCCGGGAGGTCTTTTCTAGAAGACAGCACCCAGTCGGGAGGCTCCCAGCTGTGAGCAGCTCCAGCCCAGGGAAGCAGACGCCCTCTCTGAGCACCTATGCACACACACATACATACTTCATACGAGCAAAGATCACAGAAAAGGAGGGAGGAGCCAGCTGTTTTCAGACCATTTGTTATTTCACCGTCAGCAACAATGCTCCCAAGGCTGGTGTGGTAGGAAAGTGTAGACCTCAAACTGTCAGCCTGCGAGTTTTAGCACAGGTAACAGCTGGGAAGAGCAGTGAGTGAGGTAATTATCTGCACTGATAGGATCCTCCGAGTTGTTCTGTTTGGATGGCGCTGGGGATTAAGCTCAAGCCATGGATGTGCTAAAAGACTAAACTCCCCCCCCCCCCTCTACACCAGAGCTGCTGGTGCTGACACAGCAGTCCTGCTGCTTTAGATGATCAGCATGGAAATAAAGTCGCCTCTCCTGAAGCTGATAAAGAACGTACTCTTACAAGATGGTGCCCAGGACCCAACTGGTGACTCACAACTGCCTAAAACTCCAGTTCCAAGGGATCTGACATCCTTGTCTAGCTGCTGCCTGTGTCAGACACACATGTAATGCACATACATACATGCAAATCTTTATGTCTGTCTGTCTGTCTGTCCGTCTGTCTCTATCTATCTATCTATCTATCTATCTATCTATCTATCTATCTATCTATAACAAAAATAAATCCTAAAAAAGAAGGCAGGCTTACATGTACAATACAGAGGGATATTTAATTTTACAATTAATCAAGCTGCAGGATGGTACAGATAGTATAATCTATTAAAAATGAACCCTGTATGTGCAGAAATACCACAAAGTTGGAGCATGTGGACATTAATCTGGTTGTTTCTAGAAGACGTAATTATCTCAGTTTTTTACTCTCTATTAACAGCAGTGGTTTTTTCGAAGTTTATAATAGGCATGCTTTCTTGTAAAACAAGTATATAAATTAAAACTGTTTACTTTTATTCCATTTAAAAACTACAAGGAAGTGTGAGTTCGAGACCAGCCTGGTCTACAGAGCTAGTTAAAGGACAGGCTCCAAAGCCACAGAGAAACCCTGTCTCTAAAAACCAAAACAAACAAACAAACAAACAAAAAACTACAAGGAGCATAATTCAGTGGTAAACACATGCTTAGCACATCCATGGCTCCAATTTAATTTTCAGTGCCATCAAAACTAAACCAAGCTGGTTGGTGGTGCCGCACGCCTTTAATCCCAGCACTTGGAGGACAGAGGTAGGGGGATCTCTCTGAGTTTGAGGCCAGCCTGGTCTACAAGAGCTAGTTCCAGGACAGAGAAACCTGCCTTAAAAAACCAAAACCAAAACAAACAAACAAAAAACCTAAACCAAACAGCAACAAAATAGAAGTTATAATGCAATAGTGCACCGTCTCACATTACCTTTCCAGCTGTCACGTGTGCTAAAGCTCACAAGCAGAAGATCTACAAATCTACACTTTACGACCTCACCAGACCCGAGGGGAGTATTCTTTGTGATGGTGAAATAACAAAGGGTCTGAAAATAATCTGTATGTAAACCCAACGGCCAGGACAAGCCTCAGGGGGCCTCCAGATAAAGTGTGTGCACTGCACCCCCTCTGACAAGACTGGGAAACTTTGATCTTACACTGATTCCCAAATGTGTTCATGTGTACTTAGTCTGTATCCATTTCTGGGTGCTCGTACAGACGAGTCCTCTTTCCCATTAACTTAGTATTGGATTAGACATAAAGGAGGCTAACAACTGCTTGAAATAAGGACATTCTCTTTCCTTTAAATGTCTGAACGAGCTTGCAAAACACTCCTAGAAGTCCAGGACCACACAGCACTGATCCTTGCTCCAGACTTCCTGTTAGCTAGTCCTGTTTACAGAAGTCTGGTAAGAACCTGCTGTGGAAAGAGCTGCCGTGTCAGCTATGAAACACGAAAATTTTCACCGTTACCTGCTGGACAGCTGTGCCAGAGAGCTAGGACTCATCACCCCGTCGCGGCCACTCCATGAGCACACTAAAATAAAGAAAGAATTAGTTATATTTGCCAATGATGTGACAAATGACCAAGAGTGATGGCTGACGCTTTTAAATGCAGCCATCAGGAGGCAGAAGCCGGAGGACAGATCTTGAGTTCAAAGCCAGCCTGATCTACACGAGTTTCAGGATAGCCAGGGCTACACAGTGAAACACGAATTACAAAACAAAAATGGTGTGACAACCAAAGGACCCATCTTTCTGTAGTGTCTCATCCTCCTAACAACAGTTACTTTTCCCTTGACAGCACCGAACTTTCTGTGCTGGAACAAGAAAGATTTTGACCCTAAATCTCCTAAAAATGTAATCCCTAAAGTCTACACTGTTCTCACTCATCAGCAAAGATCCACGGGGGCCACCCTCCTGTTCAGGCAGCAAGAGCTGCTTCCTTGGGTGGCTACAGATAATAGGCTTTCAAATGCTGTAAGCACTTGACATTTGTTCTGCTGGGAAGCAAGGTGACTAATCCGAGGAAAAACGTGACCTCTTTTGGGATGGAATTTCTACAATCGTAGGAGAAGCAATGACTTCCAGGCTACCTGCATCCTCTAACCGTTGTGTTCACAAGACAATCAATCTGATTCAGCACAAACAAGCTGCAGCTTTTAGAGCATGATGGGACCTGAAACCTTCTTGCTGCCTATGCCAAGCATGCACTGCAAGGCACTGCATCCGAAGTGCCCACAAACTGGCTATCTGTGCTGCTTTTTAATACTGGCCTAAAACTGCAACATTTGAACCATTCCAGTATTCATCTCCATAAGGACACTTTTTAATATAAATTTGTTCAGAGTAGGCAAGCGAAAATACATTTGGTTATAGGAGAGTATCTTATATCTAAGATTCACACACTCTAGTCTGCATTAAAAACAAGCAAACATCAACAAAAACAGACTATTTAGTGTTGTGTCAGCCACAAGGGACTTGGCAATATGCAAACACCACCCTTCTTCAAGCTGACTGAGTATAAGCTGCCCTGGCGCAGGGACCACTTGCTCCTCTTTTGTGTCCTCTCTAGTATAATTTTTTTTAAAAAAAAATTATTGAGCTTTGTGTGTGTGTGTGTGTGCATGGTGTAAAGGCATCAGATCCCCTGGAACTGGAGTCACAGACAGTTTTGAACTGCCATGTGGGTGCTGGGAATTGAACCCGGGACCTCTGGAAGAGCAGCCAGTGCTCCTAACCTCTGAGCCACCTTTCCAGCCCCCCAGTATATTCTCTATTATGGTGCTGAGGACAATCAACCCCACACACCATTCAACGTTATATTTGGTAACAAGAACGACAACAACAAAACAGACTTGTAGTAGTTGAGGTGACAACCATGGGAAGCGTCAAGCTGTTCTTATAGGGCTGGGACTGAACCTAGGTCCTTGCTCGCTCTGGGCAGACGCTCCACCACTGTACTCTACCCACTGTTGTCTCCACCTCCAAAACAACAGCAGCAAAACCTAAGTCCCGTTTTGCAAGTAAAAAAGAACACAAACCCAGGGCTGGAGAGATGGCTCAGAGGTTGAGAGCACTGGCTGCTCTTCCAGAGGTCCTGAGTTCAATTCCCAGCAACCACATGGTGGCTCACAACCATCTGTACTGAGATCTGGCGCCCTCTTCTGGCGTGCGGGCATACATCGAGGCAGAATGTTGTATACATAATAAATAAATCTTTAAAAAAAAAAAACACAAACCCAAGAACTGTGACACACACAAAAAAAAAATACATACGTATGGGAGGCTAAGAAACTTTTTTATTTTACTGTGTTTTTGTTGTTCTTTTGTTTTCATTTGGAGACAAGAGCTCACTGTGTAGCACTGGCTTGCCTGGAACTCCTTTTGTAGACCAGACTGGCCTTGAACTCCCAGAGATCCTCCTGCCTCTGGTTTTTGAGTGCTGAGATTAAAGGTTACCACCATGCTGGGCCCAAGAATTTTTAAATGATCTACTTTGAAGGTGTATATAAGAATTACTTACTTAAGTTTTAATATGTTAACAATATTTAAAAACTGGGATATGGATAACACTTGGTAATTGAAATACAGTCTTACAGACCTTAAAAGAATAAATAAAAACAGCAAGATAGGTATGAGAAAAGATTCACAAAGAAAACAAATAATCAGAAAGTTATAAGTATTGCTGCCAATTTTCATAGTTAAGATGGGGCAGATGAATAAAAAGGAATCTCATATCCTTTTTTGTACTCAAATTTTTAAAAATTTTGTTTATTTATGTACGTGACTGTTTTATTTGCATGCATGCATCTATAATAATGCAGATTCCATTATTATAGATGGATGTGAGGCACCATGTGGTTGCTGGGAATTGAATACAGGACCTCTAGAAAAGCAGCCAGTGCTCTTAACCCATAAGCCATTTCTCCGATCCTTTATTTTATGATTTCCTTACTTCATGCCTGCATCTATGTGTGTGCATGGAAGCTATGCTGGAAGAGGCCAGAAGAGGGCAGCAGAGGCCCAGAAACTGGAGTTCCAGGCAGTTGTGTACCATGTGGTGCTCAGAGGCAAACCCAAGCCCGCTGCAGGAGCAACAAGTGCTCTTGACCACCGAGCCAGCTCTCTTGTCTTGTGCATCTCACATCTTTCAATCTTTCCTCTCTACAAGCCCTGACCCATAAGTTAGGAGAGAAAATGTTTAGTGTTCAGGTCTGCTTATCACACAATAAAGTAAGCTAGGATTCACTTAATTCCTTCACTTGCTGTTTTACTGCCCAACCCTTTACATCCTGGTATAGATCCATCTTTGGTTAAGACATTTAAAATAATGCATTTAATCATCTTTATCTTCCAGTCCCCAATCTTCAAAAACAGGCTCCAAAAATTTTAATGAAAAATGCCGCCGGGCGATGGTGGCGCATGCCTTTAATCCCAGCACTCGGGAGGCAGAGGCAGGCGGATCTCTGGGAGTTTGAGACCAGCCTGGTCTACAGAGCTAGTTCCAGGACAGGCTCCAAAGCCACAGAGAAACGCTGTCTCGAAAAACCAAAAAAAAAAAAAAAGGAAAAGAAAAATGCCCGTAGGGGACACAGGCTGTGGTTGGTCAGTAGAGGGCTCACTCAACATGTATGAAGGCCTGGGTCCGACCCTCAGTACTGGGTAATCATAACTGACTGGTGACACACACTGCAATCCTGGCACTAAGGAGGTGAGGGAAGGAGGGCCAGAAGTTCAAAGGTCATCCTCAGCCACACAGCGAATTTAAGGCTATGCCGGGTATACGAGACAACTGTCTAGAGGACCGCTCTTTACTACTACCCACAAAACCAAACTGTGCCAAAAGAGATGACACACTCCGTTCTGAGGCCCAGCCCCAGGACTGCTGAAGTGCCACTGCAGTGATCTGCGTTTACGTATGATTTCAATACCTCAGTTTAAAGACAGCAGCTCTTGAGCAAATGTTCTGCTAACCATCTTACTTGGTGCAGAACAAATGACTGATTTTTGGTCAAAACAAGGGGGTGTCAGGCCCATTCATTCAATCCAAAATAGGAAAGCATTCCAAGCTGAAGGAGATGGCCATCGCATGAGGAACAGACACGAAGGGCACACTATGCTACTGTTTGTAATTCAGGCACAAACTCACCTAACCTCACTCTGGGAGAACTGGCACTTACGCAGTCGTGGAGGTAAGCAGGAACTAGCTAAGTGAATGGGTGTCGGGGAAAGGAAGCAGCAGGTACAATCAGAGTGTGTGAACCACTGTACGTGGCCATCTGGCTAGCACCAAACACCTGCAGAAGGGCAGCTGAAGCTGAGAAAGGGAGCAGGGAATAGAGCTGAAAGGTCTTGTTTACCCTCGGACTCCTCCCTGGCTGTGGCTATCACTGAAGAACTAGAAGAGAAGAATTTTACTTAGACAATTCTGCTCTTATAACTGTTCCAAGACGTAACATTGCTCCACTTCCAAGTGCTCTTCTGTGTCTGTTTTTCCTGATTCTCATTCATTACGATCTTGGAATAACAGTTCACTGAGTATTTACTCTGGGCCAGGCATGGCATAAAATATTTAAGAGACATTAAGTGACAGCAAGAAAGAACAAATCTTTAGCATCAATTTAGAGCAGCTCTCGTTGAATAAATCACCCTCAGCAGCTTGCTCATGCTTACTGGGCTGTGTATTTCCTCTTCTATACATTTAGCAAACAGGCGCTCCGTCAGGCAGTGGTGGCGCACGCCTTTAATCCCAGCACTTGGGAGGCAGAGGCAGGTGGATCTCTGTGAGTTCGAGACCAGCCTGGTCTACAAAGTGAGTTCCAGGACAAAGAAGCCCTGTCTTGAAAAAAAAAAAAGAATATTGGCTACTCGTCCAGAGGACCTGGGTTTAATTCCCAGCACCCACATGACAGCTCATTACTGTCTATAACTCCAGTTCTAAGGGATCCGACACCCTCACACAGACATGCATGCAGGCAAAACACCATGCACATAAAATAAAAATAAATACATTAAGAGAAAACTACTTCTTCCTTCCCAGGATATTTGTAAAATTTAAGTGAGATACCTGTATGAAAAGTACTCCATAAAAATGATAATAATTAAAAATCAATTTAAATCACATTACTGTTGTCACTTATGCAAAAATTATTACCAGTTGGTTTCTTACATGCAGTCAGCAGAGGGAGCCTCTGATCCATTTCTGCCTTTAGGGCCATGTAAGGAAACCTAGCCATGTTTATATGCTCCTGTGAGCAGGAGTTGAAGACTGTACACAGGTGAGAGCCAGGGGTGTAGCTCTGTGGTTAGAGTTTGTCTAAGTAATTACAAGGATCCCTGGAATGGATCCTAGCACTGTAAAAGACAAAACAAAGAAGCCATCTGATTCTTCCTCGACAGTAAGCAGGATGATGGCCTGGGGCATGCGAGTTACTTCCGTGGTGCTCACGACAATCCTGACTGAGGGTACATTCATGAGCGCTTGCTCTATTAGGTTTCAAAGTCTGCACATGGATCTCTATATATATTTATACAGATATATGTCAAATATTACAACACCGAATTTAAAGAATCCAAGTTTGCATTCTCCTATATTCTTCTATTTCTGGTTCTCAGTTAAGAACACAAGTCAGAAATAACACATCTATTCCGTTTCACTGCCTCTTGACAACAAACCAATCCTGGCTTGTGGTCACTCTTACATGAAGCTCCAGGCTACCAGGAGATGGATCAGCAGTGAACACCATAGTATCTTAGGCAACGGAGGTGATCATCACAACTTTCTGAAATAAACCCCTACTATTGGGACTGGAGAGATGGCTCAGTGGTTAAGAGCACTGACTGCTCTTCCAGAGGACCTGGGTTCAATTCCCAGCACCCACATGGCAGCTCACACCTGTCTGTAACTCCAGGATCCAATATATTCACACATATATACGGGCAAAATGGCAAAGTACATAAAATAAATATTAAAAAGAGGCATGCTATAAATCTCTACATTTGAGATAAAAGGCCATTTAATTTTTTTAAAAAACCTACTTTTAAAGGAGTTTTAAGTTATTCTTGTTTAAAGAACTCAAATTCCATTAGATTATTTTTCTTCCTTCACCTAGATACTAGATGAAGATATACTTTCTCTTTGTGAGTTCTGTAAGTTACTACACATATGAATGTACAAAGACTATGATAGAGGAATAATAGGTCAGGCAGTAACTACAGTACTGACTGCCTAATACATTTTAAAATGCTCTTATTCAACTCAATATTTATTATACATGAAAAATTTCTTCTTCTTAGGGGGACTCGCTAAATACATTATGATATATCCTATACTTGAAAAGAATGCATGAACATCCATATCTTAAGGCCATCCGCAGGCAGTTCTGAGCTAGTGCCTCTGCCTGGTTCTGACTTCCCATTCCTGGAATGTTTTCACCAGTCTATACTAACTACTCAAATCCTATCCGTTCCTCCAACACCTAACTGCCTTTACCATCATTCGAATTACTATAGGAACAGTATTATTCTTTTCCTAATAATCCCAACCCATGTCAAACACATGTGTAAATGACTAGGCACCAATACTCAGTCAAAGAGTATTCTGTATAGCTGGTATTTCCTTCTCTCTAAAATAGACTGTGTTCCACACCTCCCTTTACACAGCAGCTAGGGAAACAGCGAGTAAGCGTCGACACTCAAATTTTTGTACACGGGTGGAAGAGATGCATCAGGGCAGCCACAGTGCTGTCTCCAGAGCAGCCTGGCTTCCCAGCATGCAACAAGGCATAAAGGAAGGCATCTCGGATACAGAAAGCCTTCTTTTGAGAGAAGAAGAGGGTTTTGCTTTTGTTTCCATACAGAGAGCTGAAGTTATGCTTTTGTGATAGGGAGAGAACGAATAGCTCATTAAAAAGGCCATGGGCTGAAAGTTTGTTCAAAAAAAAAAAAAAAAAAAGAAAGAAAGAAAGAAAAAGGAAAGGAAGAAAGAGACAAACAGGAAGCATGCATTTAGGAATGAAGACTGAGCTTAAAAGCAAAAAGTTGGATGTGGAGAGAGTAATGGGGACTTTTAAATGCTTCAGGTATTGAAATGCTTAAATGGAATATTAAAAGTTTTAAATTAATTCTAGACTCCAAAATTCAATTAAAAATATAAAACTTGACAGAGGGGGTCTTTCCTTAAGCTCAAGGAAAACAAATATATGAGTAGAACAGGGGCCGAGTTGCAGCTCAGTGGTACTGTACCTGCCTAACACACTTGAGCCCCTAGGTTCAATTCCCAGCAACACACACACACACACACACAAATGTGCACATATATGTGTTAACACACAGACATGCACAACAAATGATCCTCATGAAGGCTCGTTAACAGAAGGTACTCTCTAAGCTCCACAATTCTAAGGTCCTGAACAGATATGAATGCCATGACGTCAGAGAATCAGCAGGAAAATTAATAATGCCATACTTACCTTTGTTTTCTCCCTGTTCACCAATAACCCATACTTCTTTGCCTGGAGTCTGTGCCTTCAAAACATTGGTAATAATGTATTGTAATCTCTGTGAGTCCAGATTGCATCCAATCCCAATCACTTGATTTGCAGGAAATGTGCTCAGCTTCCACGTCACATAGCTCATGATTTCCACTAAATAATACATGCAGAAAGAAAAAGATTTTTTTTTAATGTATGCTTCTTACTGCTCCCAAGGAAAGCCCAGTTTCACTGGAGAAGGGAGTCAGAGCCTCTGCAGACTCTGGAAGTCTTAAATGCATTGAAGCGTTATACTCCCCAAGGCAGGTCTTGTTACACAGTGTAGCTGGCCTTCCTCCCTCTTCTCCTGAGTACTGGGATTACAGAAGTGTACCAACATGGCTGGGAGTATGTTTATAAAATATATTGAAAACACTAGCCATGTTGAAGCATTTTTATATAATTTTCTCATGAAACAAAAGTTGTTAGGGGTAGAAAATAAGTAAGAGAGAGAGAGAGCGCGCAGGCGTGTGCACATGCATGCACGTATGTGAAAGGGTTTTGAACCCAGGGCCTCATGCACTCGTGGCAAGCACTCTATCTCCAAGACATATCCCCAGCCCAATAATCTCATTTCACTCATAAATTTCTTCTATGTTTTAGGCTTAAATTAAAATACCAGTTCATATATTATTATGAGTACAGTATCTTGAAAAACAAACATGACAACTCCCTTTTTCTTATATGACAAAAGTGTCTCACAGGATATAGAGACCAATCACAAATGTACACAGAACTCTGGAATATTTCAAACACATGCTCGCCGGCTGAGCCCAAACCACTAACTCTTTGGAAATATTTATTTCCTTAAACAATCCACAAAATATAGAACACTGAAGATGAAGTGAGGGTGGGTGAGGTGGCTGCCATTTAGCCTGACAACCTGAGTTCAAGGGCCAGAACCCACACTGCGGAAGCAGACCTGCCCTCTGACATTCACACAGTGGGTGCGTGTGCACACATTCACAGAGAAAATCAAGAAAAGAAGTTTCTTTGGATGTGCAATGTGCTTCCTAACAGAGACTCAAGTTCTTACACGTAAACACCACTACATGTTTCTCTTGGGGATTTTCACCATTTTCTCACCGAAGGAGGTATGGCTAACAATTGGAAAATAATACCACATTTTGTCAGTGGTCACATCAGAGGAGCTGCAGCCAGCAATGAAGCGTTTTGAGTTCAAGTCACTGAACAGCAAAGCTACAACGAATAAACCCTGGAGAAGCAAAACCCGGGGAAGCAGAATTGTCCCTAGAATGCCCCTTGCTGCTGCTCTGCTGTGTTTGCCATGGTGATTTACTGTGTAAAAGGGTCCCACTGTGATTGTTTCATGGGACAACCCTACTCCTCACTGGGCAATTTAATTACAGATCATGATGAAGATGACTTTTATAAGAGCAATGATGTTTGCTGAATCTATGATTTAATTAAACTTTTTGAGTCAGCCTAAAAGATATAGTTAGTGTCTTTTATGGGATAGTTGGTAAAGCTAACTAAAGAAATGGTTTAGGGGCTGGAGAGATGGTTCAGTGGTTAAGAGCACTGGCTGCTCTTCCAGAGGTCCTGAGTTCAATTCCCAGCAACCACATGGTGGCTCACAGCCATCTGTAATGAGATCTGGTGCCCTCTTCTGGCCTGCAGGCATACATGGAGGCAGAATGTTGTATACAAAATAAATAAATAAAATTTAAAAAAAAGAAAGAAATGGTTTAGGCTATTCTGCCTAAGTGCTCCAATAAAAGATACAAAAAAGGCAAAACCAGGCTAGAAGTTACCTTCCTTGGTTAGATCTGAGATTTTCAGAAAATGAAAACAAAGAACAAGGAAGTTTCATGCATTATAGACCCATGAATTCTGCCTGTGGAAAACAAGCTGATGACTAAAGACAGCAATTAGCAATTATGTCCCCACACCCAAGGCTAGGCCTGAGTTCCCTGGTCAAGTAGCTTACAGAATTAATCACAGGTTTTGGTATGCACCTTGGGAAAAACAAAATTGTGAAAGGAAATTAAATGACCCAAGTGTGTGTAAACAACAAAGAAAAATGATGGTTAGCTAGATCACTTGAGTCAAGTTTTTTTTATAGGATAAGAATTTGCGGTCAGTGGTGGCACACGCCTTTAATCCCAGCACTCGGGAGGCAGAGGCAGGCGGATCTCTGTGAGTTTGAGTCTAGCCTGGTCTACAGAGCGAGTGCCAGGACAGTCAAAACCACACTGAGGAAAACAAACAAAGACTCTGCTCCCTGGAAACTGCACACAGCCACCTGCCAGGACAAGAGGAACCGGATGAAGTTTAACCATGGCTCTGGGGTGAAGATGTTATGATGGGAAATTAGTACAAAGAAAATGTTTAACTGTGTGTGGGCTTCTAAGAAAAACACGTAACGTGATCTTAATGTGATTCCTTCTTGTGTAAAGATTTTAATTTGTTTTTGGAAAATATGTAACTTGTAGTTATGAGGTAATCTTTCCTTGCATAGGAATCTTTGTTTTAGGTGGTATAAAACGGATAAGAAGAAAATACAGAACAGAACAAGCAGCAGAAAGAAAACAACAAAACCAGGAACTAAGGTTTGACCCTCAGAGAAGTGTCCTATGTGTGCATGCACTTTCGCCAATGCCGTACCTCCGCTCCAGTTTCTCTGACCTGCTGAGAGCTGGTCTCCCGGCAACACTTCATGAAAAGCTGTGATCTGTAATCCTGGTGATACAGTTACAAGGAGTAACTGGTGACGACATACAGTTGTACTGTCCCTTGTAAGAGCAGTCTTACTAAAGATTCCTTTATATAACAGTGCTTTGGCTTTTAAAACCAGCAATGGCAACTATACTGATGACTGGGAACATCGTTTGAATTTGGAATAAAGCCTTTACCTGGTTGAGATGCAACAAGCAAGACAGCATGTTGACTGTAATGTCCCAGAGCCGGGACAAGAGCTCTGAACATGTCCACATTGCTTTGCACGGCATGAAGGTAGGATTCAGAACCACCCAAAGAGTTGGCTGTGAAGATCACCACCTTGGAATGAGCAGAGGCAGACAAATCTGATGAACAAAAAGAAACAGTCTGAGTTCAAGATAGTCTACACTAATGCTAGTACGCGGTAAAATGTTTCTCCAGCCTGTGAACAGAGAGCCTTCAGGCATACACGCCCCTACAGCTGTCATCACAACACTGAAGAACAACAGCCTGGATCCCAGGGCCAAGCACAGTGGTACAGAGCTGCGATCCAGCTCTCGGGAGGTAGAAGCAGCAGAACGGCTTCATGGTGGAGGCAGGAAGTTGGAAAGAGCCAGCACCAGTACACAAAGACTGAGTTTTCTTGTGACTCACAGCTCGTACAGGGAGATGAGTAGTATGCTGTAGGTAAAAAGAGCAACCACTGGCTTCTGTACTGAGTGAGCCTGGGAGCCTTGGGATTCCTTCCAAGTGACTGTTACAGCCCGGGGAGAGCGGGAGGACTGAGCAGAGAAGTGAAGAGCTTGGGTAAGTCAGCAGAGGGGCTGGAACTCAGGCCCAGGCAGTCTGGTTTCAGACTCTACGCTATTAACCCCGAACCCCAAGGGAAAATGGTACTGGGAGAGGGTAGGAAGCTTGTTCAGAGCATCAAAAACCAGTGACCAGTTCAAGTTACACCACACCTTGGCTTCAACCCAATTTGCCAGAATCTTCCTCCTTTTCCTCTTTGGATCTGAATGATAAAAATGGCCTCATCCTCAAGGGTAATTCTGAGTCCTTGCTTGGTGGCAAGTCCCATGTACTGAACATTTCTCCCAAAGATTCTGCTCTTTAAACCACTTCACCAGTTACCAATGGCTAACGAGACGCACAGGAAAGAAGGATTTCCTTAGGTCTTAAACAGTCTCTTCCTCTAGGGTTGGGGACTAAACAGTCTCTCTTACAGGATCTGAAGAGTTAACAGGTCCCTTGAGAACCTCAGGGCCTGGAACAAGAGAATATCCAGCTCCCCAAGGAGCCCCACGCGGCCATTAAAAGAACTACAGTGCTCTCTCAGAGGAGGAACAGGAGCCAACTGTCTCCTCCAGGGATTGAAGGCCTATTGAACCATGACGTACTATTTTTAGAACAGACAGGCAAGTCAACGCCCCCCCCCCCACCACCACCACCAGACACACCACCACCCTCAGTGCATCTTAGTTATGTAACTGCTCTACACAGCATTTGGAAAGGAGTCGAGGAACGGAGGAGACCTAAGGAAAGACAAAACAAGCCCTCAGCACTGTGGCGGCATGTATAAGATGGTCTTCTCTATAAACTGGTAAACATGTTTTAGGGGACACATTCATTCACAGATCTGTTTTTTAATATATTTTGATTTTTAAATTTTATTTTTAGTGTCATGCATCTGTGTGTGTGGGTGCCACTCATATGGGTGCTCATGGAGGCTGTTGGAACCCCTAGAACTAGAGTTATAGGCAGTTGTGAGCTGTCTCACCTGCAATAGGAACCAAACCTGGGTCCTCCGCAACAGCAGTATGTGCTCTTATCCACTGAGCCAGCTCCCAGGCTTGGTGGGCTTGTTTTTAAAACTATGCATTCCTGGTAAAAAAAAAAATTTTTTTTTTCGAGACAGGGTTTCTCTGTGGTTTTGGAGCCTGTCCTGGAACTAGCTCTTGTAGACCAGGCTGGTCTCGAACTCACAGAGATCCGCCTGCCTCTGCCTCCTGGGATTAAAATGCTGGGATTAAAGGCGTGCACCACCACCGTCGGCTGGTAAAATATTTTAAAACCAGCAATCCCTAAATATGGTATTTATCTAGATAAATATATCTGTACTAACACGATGTCACATACACTATAAAATGACGCTGTATTGAAAAGGCAGAACCTGGCCTTGGTGGCAGGTGCCTATAGTTACCACTAAATGGGAGAGGCAGGAGGGGCAGCGGGGAAACAGCAAGACCGAGGCTCCTACACACAGAAAGGGGTAGATGGCAGAAACTTCTTTTCATTTTCTTCCTCTTTCTGTGGGTGTGGGATTGAATCCAGGGCCTCAGATAAGAAAGGTAAGTGTTCTATACCCCCAACTGCCTAAAATAGCATTTTCAAATCTGATTTATTGCACAACAACCTTTCTGTTCTCATGAGAGCTCATGGGAAGAGTAGTTTGAGCACAATCAAAGTGAACTGAGCGTCTTTTGTTAGTCTTGGCTTATCTCCTGTGCACCATGGCAGACAGTACATTCCCAATTATAGCTGAGAAACTGAACTTACTTTTCTTACGTGTGAGTACTCTGACCACATGTATTTCTGAAGGCCAGAAGGGGTCATCAGATACTGTTATTGGTTGCTGTGAGCCACCATGTGGGTGCTGGGAATTGAACTCAGGATCTCGGGAAGAGCAGCCAGTGCTCTTAACCTCTGAGTCATTTCTCCATCCCTGAAAACTGACCTTTCAACAACCTGCGAATATCAGACTATAACGTGGCTGAGCTAATTGCATCTGTCTAACTCTAAAGTCAGTTTTCTGAACCAATATATCCCGAGAAAGAAAGCAACCATGGCAATGTTTATTTAGAGACATAAATCAGAGAAAAAGAATAAATTCTTTTGACCAATTGGAATGAGTCTGAATGCTATTTGCTCATTTGACTCCTGCTAAGTGTAAGACTTTGCATAAATCCACTGACTTAGTTCCAAGCCTTAGTTTCTCAACTTGGTAAACAAGGGATTTGAAACAGGCAATCTTCATGGCACTTTTCAGTGTAAAATTCTAGGACCTGGGCTGGAGAGACTCTCAGTGGATCAAGGCTCCTGCCATTACACTTGATAGCCTGAGTTTGATCCTGGGACCCAATGCAAGGAGAGAAACAACTCTCGAAGGTACATAATGCTACAGGACATGTGTGCCCACCTCCCAGCCAAAATAAAAGCACAATTAAAAAAAAAAACCTAGGACTTAATTCCCAGTTCCACAGATAAATAATCTAAGATTCAATCAGTAGAAAAAGAAATATAACCATCTTTTCTTTTAACCAGACATTTTCTTTTCTTTTATTTCTACTTTTCTTTTAAGTTTTATTTACTTATTTTTATGTGTGAGTGCTCTGTCTGCATGTACACCTGAATGGCAGAAGAAGGTATCAGATACCATTACAGATGGTTATGAGCCACCATGTGATTGCTGGGAATTGAACTCAGAATCTCTGGATTCTGAGTCAGTGCTCTTAACCTCTGAGCCCTCTCTCCAGCCCCATAACCATCTTTAAATAGAATAATCAAACCTTTGCTGATCTCTACATTAGGCAGGTTGAAGATATCAAGGTCCATCGTTCCTTGGTTAGTCCCATCGGAGAGGTCTAAAAGGAGCAGCTTGTCTGCAATGCCCTGTGTAGAAAAATTAGAACAAGAACAATGTTCTACCAATATAGCCAGTTACTCAATATGAGCTCACTGAGAAATGAGGACTCCTGCACTACTTGAGAAAGAAAAGAAACAAAATAGCAACACAGAAGGTGTGCACATTGTGCAGGTGACACTACCCTTCAGGCTTGACTACTAAATACCGGGACCTAACATGGCTTACTCAGGAGGCAAACTGTATCTTCTTTTCGAATGAATGACAAAGGGGATATGGTAGGCATGCTACTGTTCCTCTTGAGTTTTGATTTTTAATGCCATAGTATCTGTTGTTATTGTTCTTTTCTTTTTTAGGTTTTTCTGAGACTTGGTTTCTCTGTGTAGCCTTAGTAGTTCTGGCTGCTTGTAGTCCAGGCTGGCCTTGAACTCACAGAGATCCTCCCGCTTCTGCCTCCAAGGTGCTGGATTAAAGGTGTGCACCACCACACCTAGCTTAGTACCTATTCTTAAACAGTCTAAAATGATTTTGGGTGGGGGTTGTCTATTCTAGCATACCATTCCCTGCTTAAAAGTAAAAACTCTTGCCAGGTTCTTCAAAACAAATAAACAAACAAACACTTTCTACATAGAGATAAATAAATATAAGAGAGAGAGAGAGAGAGAGAGAGAGAGAGAGAGAGAGAGAGAGAGCACACACCACAAATCTAAACCCTGCTATCATGCAGTATTTTCACCCGGTGCCCAAGGATGACTCCCTGGGCAGTACGGTGAGTGGACTGGAAGTGACAGCAAGGAAGTGACAAGAGTGTGGGGGAGTGGGAGCCTTAGGTCTCGAGATACCCAGGGGCCTACTAAGAAGCACGCCATTTATTATCTGGTAACTACGCACCGCACCGGCCTTAGCCTTATTTTAGGTGTTTGTGAGATTAAGTATATGGCACAGGGCCAGCCATGGTAGTCCTTCATAAAGCATAGCTATTATCTCTCTCTCTCTCTCTTTTTTTTTTGGTTTTTCGAGACAAGGTTTCTCTGTGGCTTTGGAGCCTGTCCTGGAACTAGCTCTGTAGACCAGGCTGGTCTCGAACTCACAGAGATCCGCCTGCCTCCATAGCTATTATCTTATTATTGTGAACCACACTAGGAAAATGCAGAAAGTATATGTTTCCATCTTCATTTAGTCCACACACAGATCCAAACGTGTGAGAATAATTAGTACAACTGACATAGTGGACAATTTCTCTCCTTTTTCCTCCCCTCTCCTAATTGAGAGGGTTTCTCTGTGTAGTCCTAGTTGTCCTGGAACTCTCTGTGTAGACCAGGCTGGCCTTGACCGCAGAGACTTTTCTGCCTCTGCCCAGGAGTGCTGGGACTAAAGGCACATGTCCCTTATAATCAACTCAATTTAACAATTTCTATCAAAAATTCAAAAATTAATAAATTAATCTGCTAGTCTCATTTACAGAAGTTATCCTATAAATGTACTAGTACATGTGAAAAATGACATGATGTGTTTAGATCTTCAAGATGGAAACCAACCCAAGTATTCACTTCAAACGAGATAAGAAGCACTTCAGTTCAGGATTCTGGAAGAGGGCTCAGGCTACCAGACCACTAAGTCACCTGTGAGGTACGCATCACCAGGCTGCGGTGAAATGGAGATTTAGCAGAAGACTATGAATTCCTAACCAGTTCTTAGGAGATGCCAGTGTTACCATTTTTAAAGCCACACTCTGAAAGCCAGGTGTGGCTGTTCGTGGGCAGAGGCTTCTTGCTCATTTCCCAGCTGCCTAGACCCAAAATAATCACATAGAAACTATATTAAATAAATTACTGCTTGACTTATTAGCTCTAGTTTCTTATTGGCTAGATCTTACATCTTAAATTAAAATTAAATCATTTCTATTATTTTGTATTTTACCACCAGTCAGGTTCTGGCTGGCAGCTTGTGTCTTTCTCCTTTGAGGCTACACAGCAGCATCTCTCTGACCCCGCCTACTCTCTCTCGACAGCTCTATTTGGATTTTTTGCCTGGCTTTACTCTGTTAAGTCACTGGCAGAGAGCAACTTCTTTATTAACCAATGGCAATAAAACATATTCATTGCATACAGAGGGGAATCCTATATCAGCTGTCAATGTTTGTAATCTCAGCACTCAGAAGGCTGAGAAAGGAGACTATTTAAGAGTAGGTTAGGTTGCACAGCAAAACCCTGGTAATGATCTAGACTATAGGTTCTGATCCCACTGTCCAGCCGTGTCTGGCTGGAAGATCCTGCCTTGATGCATGAAGTGGCAGACCAATTGAGGGTGATCCCAACATCACCTCCAGATCCCACATACCCACGCGTACTCACGCACGCCAAAAATGCATACACACATGTGCAATACTCATATACGTGAGCAATGGAAAAAGAAAATTAAAGTCCAATGAAAGTACAGATATACTTCCAGCAACTAGGTTTACATACCTTTGCTGAAATTGCCATTGTGCAGGCAATACCCAAATCTCCACTTCCGACCACAGTGATTTTATTTGCTATTTTACTCTCATGATTTGTCCGGCCCCTTGAATTTGTGTCTGAGACACCTACGAAATAAAAAAGATCATCCTGAGAACTAAAAAACAATATTAAAAACTTTATCTTGTAAATGTCTTTATTTATTAAACTACAATTGAAATGCCACTACATTTCCCCTTTTTGTCTAAAATAAAAAGGCTATAAATAATATAAGAAAACTGTGTACAACAAGTACAATGACTATATACAATATATTCAGGCAATAAATACATCAACAATGTCTATTCCATTTGCATTTGAAAAATTCAGAGAAAATATTCCATATCCATCCTATCTTGGTGAGATGGCATACATTTAAAATCCCAACAGTCAAGAAGTTGCGGGAGAAGGACCGGAAGCTGAAGACTAGCCTGAATCACAAAGCATGACCTCGTTCATGGTCACAAAACCCTTTCTAGCATCTTTTTAAAAAAAGAAAAAGCTCTGATAGAGATTCTATAGATTAATAAAACAACAACAAAACCCAACCAGCTTGCTGAACTAATGAAGGCAAGGACAGGAGACTGAAACCAAGCATGGCAGCTCAGTCCTCTAATCCCAGCAGCCAGGAGACTGAGGCAGTGCCTGGGCTACACAGTGACGCCTAGTCTAACGAGCAAGAGGCTGGGCACTTCTGCACATGCCTGGAATCCCAGTGTTGAGAGAAGGCAGAAAGGTCAGGAGTTCAACGTGATCTTCAGCTGTACAGAATTTGAGGCCAGTCAGGATTACCTGAGATCCGGTCTCAATGAGTACATTGCACTGCCTGCCCCAAGAAAAACAGTGGTCTTCTACTGAATGTTCTTTTACATAGAGTTCTTTTTAAAGACAGTATTATAAACATTTAAAACTTTTTTTTGTTTTGTTTTGTTTCTTGAGACAGGGTTTCTGTATGTAGCTCGGGAGCCTGTCCTGGCACTCGCTCTGTAGACTAAGTTAGCCTCAAACTCACAGAGATCCATCTGCCTCTGCCTCCCAAGTGCTGGGATTAAAGATGTGTGCCGCCACCACCCAGCAAACATTTAAAAAACTTTTTATTTGGGGCTGGAAAGATTACAGGATGCTTTTCCAGAAGGCCTGGGTTCAATTCCTAGCACCCACATGGCAGCTCACAACTGTCTATAACTCCAGTTCCAGGGGAATCCAACACCCTCACACAGACATACGTGCAAGCAAAACACCAATGTATATAAAAAATAAAAATGAATCATTAAAAAAAGTGTGGGAAAGCACAAGAGAAGGGTACAGGGTGAATAGGCCAGAGACACACTGTGAGCATGTATGGAAATGTCACACTGAAACTATCATGCATAATTGTTATATGCCAGGAAAAGATTGAGGAAGACACTCAACAATGGTCTTTGAGCTCAATATTCACAAAAATTCTACTGAAAATTTCTAGGCATGAATATTTGGTTTTAGCACCAATAAGAAACTTAGACTTATATACCTCTGGACTCATATACTTAATAAGTCAAAGCTACAGAAACATGAAATGATCAAGGTTTGGATAATTAATTTATAAGGGGCTCTGAATAAAGCAAGAACTATTGTATCTGTCTATGTAAGAGTAACATTTTTATATTTTAATAAATTTTATTTGGAACTATATAGAGGAATTTTTATTAAACATACATATATACATATTCATATATTTGTTTATTGAATTTAAGTAGCAACAGTACAGAGTATTAGTGAGAAATTCTACTTTCTTAGCCCACAGGGGATCTGACTGGCAGTACAAACCTTCAGTGATGTTCGCAATATAGGCTAGCAAGTCGGCCTGCTGTGCTTCGGTGGATGAGGGCACCGAATAGAGAGGAAGTTCCTCTTGAAACTTGGCGATCATTTCTTTAATTAATCCAACAATGACAGACTTAGGCTGAAGAATACAGGCAAAGGGGACAGTTACACAACATTGTTTTTCTAAAGAATACTAGTTTTATATTGTCATCCGCAAGGCAATCCTTGAACAATGCGCAGCTGAAGACCTGCATATGCTGACTCCCCAGACGTCTTCTAGGAGCCTGCTCTTCGTCTTCACTACAACCCCTGCCTGTTTTCTTTCTTCAGCAGTGCTGGGAACTGAACTCACAGCCTTGTGTGTGCTAGGCAAGCACTTTACACTGAGCTACACCCCTTACCAATAACAAAAGAAGCACATGCTTTGTAAGCTATATCTACTATATAGCAATGCATGGCAGCCATCCCATGCCATTTTTAGTATTATGCAGAATTTTAAAATAACCAGAGAGGCTCCCAGGAGCCCAAGGCGATGTCCCCAGTTAGTCCCTTGGGAAGCTGAGGATAGGGAACCTGAACTGACCCTATCCTATAGCAATACTGACGAATATCTTTCATATCACCATAGAACCTTCATCTGGTGATGGATGGAGATAGAGACAGAGACCCACACTGGAGCACTGGACTGAGCTCCCAAGGTCCCAATGAG